TTTATTTAATAAACTTTTGAAATCGACAAAAGAGTCGTCATTGGCTAAAATTAAATCCGATGTCAACTTCCCGTTTGTCTGTGTGCTATCCGTTTCATACATAACAAATTTTCGTCACAGCTTTCTCAGCAACTACTCAACGCAGATGCTTGAAATTTTAACACAATCTTTTCTGAGGCATGCCATATGGCGGGATACATTTTTGTTAAAATCCTATGTCAACTTCCTGTTTGTCTGTGCGTCTATCCGTTTCATACATAACAAATTTTCGTCACATTTTCTCAACAACTACTCAACGTAGATGCTTGAAATTTTAACACAATTTTCTCTTAGGCATGCCATATGGTGGGATACATTTTTGTTTAAATCAGATGTTAACTTCCTGTTTGTCTGTGTAGCTGCCCGTTTCATACATAACAAACTTTCATCACATTTTTCTCAGCAACTACTCATTACAGATGCTTGAAATTTGACATTTTTGTTAAAATCCGATGTCAACTTCCTGTTTGTCTGTGCGTCTATCCGTTCGTTACATAACAAATTTTCGTCACATTTTCTCAACAACTACTCAACGTAGATGCTTGAAATTTTAACACAATTTTCTCTGAGGCTTGCCATATGGTGGGATACGTTTTTGTTAAAATCAGATGTTAACTTCCTGTTTATCTGTGTAGCTGTCCGTTTCATACATAACAAACTTTCATCACATTTTTCTCAGCAACTACTCATTACAGATGCTTGAAATTTTAACACAATCTTTTCAGAGGCATGCCATATGGTGGGATACATTTTTGTTAAAATCCGATATCAACTGCCTGTTTGTCTGTGCGTCTGTCAGTTTCATACATGAAAATTTTCTTAGCAGTTTTCTCACTAGCTATTCATAGCAGATGCTTGAAATTTTATTACTGATTTTGTGGAGGCATGCCATATGGTGGGTTTAATTTTGATATGAATCTGATGTAAACTTCATCTGCCTGTAATTGAACTTGTGTAAACAGTATATTAACATGATAGTGCTTATTTACATCAGAGCGGGGTTTTACTAGTGAGCATTTGTTCACAGATTTCTTGTTCTCAAACTAGATAAGCTTGTAAGTTCAACATGAGATAATGTGCTACTGCTAGAAAATCCCACCAAGTAATATTAATGTTTCTTTGATATCGCAATTAGAAATGGTAGTAAAAAGTCCGGACTATGTCGTGTCCGGAGTTAAATGTCGGACTGTTATGACTTGATCAGCCTCTCACTGTGTACAAACTGCGTCATTTTTGCGAGATGACGTCACATTGACAAGTGCTTTGCTATCGATGCATCGTTTGTATATTGTTGTGTGGATTTAACAAACGACAAAAGTACAAGTAATAGTACATGTAAGTTTTTATGTAGTCTAAGCTATCCAGCAGTTTGAAATAGCAAATAATATCATTTTGTGGTACTTTGAAGACCTTATATTTTGTGTGAAGTCATAGTAAACATTTCCAGTACAAATAAGGCCACTCCACCTTACTGTAACCTTAACTGTGCTGCGTTAGAGATGTTAACCCCAAAAGAAGGTAATGAAGGTATATTGCTGCATAAGTAGGGTTCAAAAGTTTAAATCATCAAGTTTATCATGAAGATTGTTTATTACCTAGATTATCAAAAAATTCTAAATCAAACAAACTGTACAATTTTTCATTTCTGCATGAATTTAATGGGACTAAGTACTAAGAGACAAAACTAGGTACTCTGTAATATTAACTATACTCTGTTAAATATACAGTTTAAAGAAGTTCGCTCCTAGGCTTCTGAGTATTCTTTTTTTATCTTGACCTATATGTCTAAAATTCTGCATGTAATGTTCTAATTCAATTATTCTTACAATAAATTCGAATTCTACAATACCAATTGCAACTTAATTATATTCCATTAAAAATTCTATGATTTAATTCCAAACTAAAAGCACTAAGTGAGGAACTATATTTTAAAGCGGAAAGATTTTCAGAACAGAAATGGTCATTTTTTTCTCTTTCGAATTATTTTATTTATTATTTTATTTACATTATATTATTTTTATTTTATTATGTTAATTTTGGATTCCTATTTTTACATGTAAAATGCAACAGAGCTATTCTGTGCAAATGACTGTTTTATACTTGTCCTAAATTATGTTTCAAGTATACTGTCATGAATTCTATCAACAGTCTGATTTATATAGCAAATATATTGTGAAAATAAAGAAAAAACAAAAAACCTTATTTAAGCTTAAAATTGTAATATTTTAGTTATATCTAAAAGTTCCATCACAGACCCCCACTTTAAATATTCTTTTCAGAAGAAAATACGATTTTCAACCATTCTCCTTACATTTAGTTAAATGTCAATGCTTTCAAATGATTATTTGTTTCTAAAATTTTTATTGTGAGAAAATGAAAATGTTTGAGTGCAAAAGAGTCAAATAATTGAACATGCGGGTATTTTTCAAAATTCTTCGCTGTAACAAATTTTATGGATCTATTTAAGATGAAATAAGGCTGTGTTTGTTCCCATGATTTCTCAGTACAAAAATATTTGAATAACAGCTTTAAAAATGGCTTAAGGTTATCCGATCCTCAGGTTCTGAAAATCAGGCACTGGGTAATTGAAAATGCTCACAAAGATGTCTCTAAATTCTCAAATTAAAATGTTTTTACCCACGGTGTTTCTTTAAAATTCATCTTTAAATTTAATCATATTATATAGGAAAAATTAGTAAATCTCGAATAATTTTTCAGGAAATGTAATTTGAACTACCTACTGCATATTTTTTAATTGATAATTGATCAAGAAATACATTTTAGGAATAAAAGTCATAGGTATCCAGACTTTTAAAGAAAATTGAATGAATTTTACAATTATTTGGACTTTATTTTCTCCTTCTTACTTCCATTGTTTCATAATGCATAGTGCATGATGTGTTTCCTTTCAAAGAAAACACTGTAAATCACTTCTTATTTCAAATCATGCATATATAGACATTGGTAACTAAGGCTAAATTAAAAGAAATTTGATTTTTTAAAATATGCAAGTTTTACTTCATTTTATGAGGTACAAATGTCAACTTTTTAAATACCGTTTGTTAAAACTTTAAAGAGCATTGAATCATACGTAGAGGCATAAAATGAAAATTGTTGCATGAAAAAATTTCAATTTCAAGCTTTATTTTAATACCTTTTGAATTAAATTATAAATTAAAGAGTTATCCTTCCTGGCTTAGGATCGTATATCCTTAATGTGTAAAACGTCTATACAGTGCAAAAAGGTCAAACTTGTGCTATGTGGCATCAAAAGAAGCGCATAGACCCCCATTTTAACTTTTATTTTTAAATAAAACTATGTGTATATATTCTAAAAATATACTTAATAAAAATTCTCATTCCTTTTGAAGGCAGGATCCAACCTCCTTAACAAAATTCATATGAAAGCAGAAACACTTTAGTAATTAAGTATTTAATTTTGAATCTTCATTATATCACCCCAAATGCAGGACATGTTGTTATTGTATGCATTTATACATTGCTCATAGACCTTCTCGGAAGTGGGTGGAGAAATGTTCCTGAAACCTTCCGTAAAACAAGAAAACTAACTGTTTTTGTGCAAAAAAATATTTTCCAGTTTCAAAATTGCTACCTTTGCAGTAAAAAAGTACAAAAAGTGAACAAATTTGTCCTGAAGTGTTCTCGCTGATATTTGGACAATTGTAATGAATATAAATATGTTACGATCCTCTAATGTTATGAAAATAGACATTGCGTCAGCTGTAGTAGTTATTTTTATTGTGTGACGTCACATGGATTTCCGGAAGCTGAAGAACATCTGCACGCGCTCGCGATCGTCTGCGAGGATACGGGATTAGAGAGACTTGGCAATGGACTGATGGTATGTCGTACTTTGTAATTCGGCCCAGGATGTTTATAATACCGCGAAAGTACATATTTAGTGACCGTCGTCCATAGTGTCTGATGTTCTCGGAGTGGTGTAATTCGTTCTGGACTGGAGGACATTCGAAATGAACAACTGAGTAAACGTTGTCTGAATTTGTTTATGATGTCAATTTGTGTGTAACTGTAACTGTGTGATTATTTGATTCTATTGCTTGTTTTATCATTAAAATTTGTTAAAGTTTTAATTCATTTTGGTTGGTGTGTTTTTTGTAAGTGTGTCACAGGTGAAAACGAGCTATAAATAGATTTGTGTATTCGGCGCACGTTACAAATTGGGGGCTCGTCCGGGATAATCGAACTTTTGGCTTTTTGTGGGTGAGTTTCAAAAACGACATCTCGGAAATATTTGATCACAAATTTATTTCATTTGGGAATTTTATTCATTATAATACACACCAGTCAAGATGGTTTTTAACTTAGAGGATTTTTTGAATACACCAGATGCGCGGTTACTTCAAACACTTAAGAAAGATGAACTGTTTGAATTTGTGTCAAAGTTTCATTTGAATGTGAAGCGCAGTGCTCGGAAAATAGAAGTCAGAAATGCTGTGGTTCAGTATTTAGTTCAGAGAGGTATTTTAGATGATAGTGCATTGTCATTGGTTGAAGATCTGAAACCTGTTGAAACTGAAAAAAGAAATTTTGAATATGAATTAGAATTTAAGAAATTAGAAATTGAACAAGAGAGAGAAAGGCAGGCATTTGAAAGAGAAAAGAGAGAATATGAAAAAGAGAAAAGTGCGCAAGATCGAGAACATGAGTTACAGATTAAGAAATTAGAATTTGAGACTCAAAAGATAAAACATGAATTAGAACTTGAGGCTAGGGCTCTGACTTTGATGTGACAAAGAACATAAGACTTGTCCTTAAATTTCAAGAGAAAGATGTTGACAAATATTTTATTCATTTTGAGAAAATAGCTGAAAATTTGAAATGGCCAAAAGAATTCTGGCCACTATTGTTACAGAGTGCATTTGTTGGCAAAGCTAGGGAAGTTTATAGTGCATTGTCACTTCCACAAAGTACAGATTATGATGTTATTAAAAAAAAATGTCTTAAAAGCATATGAACTTGTACCAGAAGCCTATAGACAGAAATTTAGAAATTACAAGAAATTCAATGAACAGACTCATGTTGAATTTGCGAGAGAGAAACAGAATATGTTTGAGAGATGGTGCACTTGTAAAAATGTTGGATCTAACTTTGAAAGGTTGAAACAGGTCATTTTGATTGAGGAATTCAAAAATTGTATTCATCTTGAAATTAGAACCTATTTAGATGAACAGAAGGTTGAGACTCTTGAGCAAGCTTCGACTGCGGCTGATGATTATGCACTAACACATAAGGTATCTTTTGTAAAACTCAGTACCGATACTAGTCAACAGAAGATGGTCAACTATGACAGTTTTCGAGGGGGACCAGACACTTCACAGGTAACTCAACCTAAGATGGCTTACTCTGAGACCAAAGATAAGGACAAGAATAATGAAACCTTAAAGCAGATACCCATTTGTAATTATTGCAAAAAGAAGGGTCACATTAAGTCTGAATGTTGGGCATTACAGAGGAAAACACCTGTAAGTAATGATAGTAAACCAAGTCCCACTGCTCTTACATCTGTCCAAGGTAAGGTTTCCTGTAGTCAGTTTGAGAACACTGGTATTAAGCCAGAGTCTGATGTTCTTAGAGAGGAATTTAAGCCTTTTGTATTTGATGGTTTAGTGTCGGTGGATACCGACTCACACCCTATAAGAATTCTAAGGGATACAGGTGCTTCTCAGTCATTGTTACTAGAAGGCGTTTTGCCACTGTCTGAGAAGACACATACTGGTTCTGAAGTGTTGATTCAGGGTGTAGAATTAGGACTTGTGAAAGTTCCTCTTCATGTTATAGACCTGAAGTCAGATTTAGTCTCTGGGTCTGTGGTCGTAGGTGTCAGACCTACTTTACCAGTTAAGGGAGTTTCTCTTCTGTTAGGTAATGACTTAGCTGGGGGTAGGGTGGTACCTGACCCAATCATTTGTGAAAAGCCTAGTCTTATAGGAGAGGTAGAGGAGGAGAATAAAGAGTTATTTCCTTCATGTGCTATTACAAGGGCTATGGCTAACTAGTCCTAGAAACTAGGACATGCTGAACAGATGGTAAGTCAGAAGTTAGATACAGGAAAGGACTTGTCTATAGATCTTGATGAGACATTTTTGTCAGCTATGTTAGATTCAGAAAGTAATATTTCCTCAGAGGATCAGCAGTCTAAAGGTGATGTATTTGGTTTACAAGAAATGTTAGACAACACACCTCTTACTAGAGATAAATTGATATCTGAACAAGAGTCAGATGTTGAATTACAAGGTCTCATTGAACAGGCTTTGTCTCCAGAGGAGGCAGAGAAGGTCCCTGTTTGTTATTATAAGAATCAGGGTGTACTCATGAGAAAATGGCGTCCCCCTGATGCTTCAGTAGAGGATGAGTGGCAAATCAACCACCAAATTGTAGTACCTAGGGCATATCGGAGAACAGTTATCGGTCTGGCCCATGACACACCAATGTCGGGTCATTTGGGGGTCACAAAGACCTACAATAAGGCATTGACTCACTTCTTCTGGCCTAAGATGAGAAGGGATGTAGTCGACCATTGTAAGTCATGTCATGTCTGCCAAGTAGTGGGAAAACCTAATCAGAAAATCCCTCCCGCTGCTTTAAAGCCTATCCCTGCTTTTGATGAACCATTTACCAAGGTCATTGTAGATTGCGTGGGTCCCTTGCCTAAAAGCAAAGCTGGTAATCAGTACTTTTTGACCATTATGTGTGCATCGATACTCTTCCCTGAAGCAATTCCCTTGCGAAACATAAAGTCTAGAACCATTGTCAATGCTTTGACCAAGTTTTTCACCAATTTTGGTTTGCCCCAGTCAGTACAGTCTGATCAAGGTTCCAATTTCACATCCAAGGTCTTTAAACAGGTAATGCAGGAGTTAGGGATTAAGCATCAATACATCCAGTGCATACCATCCAGAGTCCCAGGGGGCTCTTCAGAGGTTTCATCAAAGCTTGAAAACTATGATTCGAACCTATTGTTTGTCGAATGAGAAAGAGTGGGACAAGGGAATCCCCTTTCTTTTATTTGCTGTTAGGGATGCAGAACAAGAATCACTAGGTTTTAGTCCCTTTGAACTTGTATATGGTCACACTGTGCGAGGACCATTGAAATTGCTTAAACAGAAATGGTTGGTTGAAGAGAGTGAGACAAATCTATTAGATTATGTAGCAAAGTTCAAAGAAAGGCTCAGTCAGACTTGGACGCTAGCTAGAGAGAATCTAAAGGTAAGTCAGGACAAAATGAAAACCTGGTATGACAAACGTACAAAAACTAGAACATTTAAGTCAGGAGACAAAGTCCTTGTCTTGCTACCAATTCCAGGTCAGCCTTTGCGTGCTAAATACTTTGGCCCATTTGAAGTTGAACGCAAGGTCAATGACTTGAATTACATTATTAAGACACCTGGTCGACGCAAGAACAAACAGCTCTGTCACATCAACATGATCAAACAGTATCATAACCGAACAGACATAGATCACCCTAAAGTAGAATCAGTCGCTGCTTCAAGCACTGAAGTTAAGTCTACCCCGGAACAAGACCAACTTGCACACGAGTATGATCAGTCTACTCCTAAGTTGAAAAACTCGGATGTTTTGTCAGACTTAGAGTCTAAACTTAACCACTTGCAAGAGAATGAGAAAGAAGAGCTTATGTCTCTTATACAAGAATTTACACATTTATTCCCGGATGTTCCTAAAAAGACCAATCTTGTATATCATGATATAGATGTTGGGGATGCATCTCCCATTAAGCAACATCCTTACAGAACGAACCCTGTCAAACAAGAGCACTGTCATGCAGAACTGGCCTATATGTTGGAACATGATATCATTGAGTACAGTAACAGCCCTTGGAGCTCCCCTTGTCTCCTTGTTCCCAAGCCAGATGGGTCGTTTAGATTCTGTACTGACTTGCGCAAGGTCAACACAATTACCAAAACTGACTCTTACCCGATTCTCAGAATTGAAGACTGCATCGATAAGATCGGTCATGCCAAATGCGTAAGTAAATTTGATCTTTTGAAAGGGTATTGACAGGTCCCATTGACTGAGAGAGCGAAAGAGATTTCAGACTTCGTTACCCCAAAAGGTTTCTACCAATATAAGGTGATGCCTTTTCGGTTAAAAAATGCCCCTGCAACCTTTCAAAGGATGATCAATCATTTACTTAGTGATGTAGATGCAAGTGAGGCATACATCGATGATGTGATAGTGTATAGTAGCACTTTTCAAGAGCATTTGTCACATATTAGGGCATTATTTGTGAAACTTTCAGAGGCAAATTTGACTGTAAGCCTTACAAAAACTGAATTTTGTCATGCTGTTGTTGAATGTTTAGGCCATGTTGTTGGTAACGGCCATGTGAGAGCAGTTTTTGCTAAAGTTGAGGCAATTGTAAATTTTCCTGCACCTCAATGTAAGAAAAACTGATGAGATTCTTGGGAATGGCGGGGTACTATAGAAAATTTTGCCCTAACTTTTTGACCATTGCAAACACACTGACCTGTCTCTTGAAAAAGAATATTAAATTTGTTTGGGATGAATCATGCCAACAGACCTTCCAACAAATCAAAACAATTCTCATGGTCTCTCCAGTTCTTTCATCACCAGATTTTGATAAAGAATTTTTGTTGCAAATTGATGCTAGTGATGTGGGTTGTGGGGCAGTTTTGTTACAAGAGGATGAAAATTATGTTTGTCATCCTGTTGCTTATTTTTCCAAAAAGATTTCCAAATGTCAAAAAAATTATTCAACTGTAGAAAAAGAGTGTCTGTCAATGTTATTAGCATTGCAACATTTTGATGTGTATGTTAATTCATCTGTTCATCCAGTTGTTGTTTTCACTGACTACAATCCCCTCACATTTGTTCAAAAAATGAAAAACAAGAATCAAAGGCTAATGAGATGGAGTTTGGAATGACAAGAGAAAAATATTGTCATAAAACATATTAAAGGAAAAGAAAATTTAATTGCAGATGCTTTGCCAAGAGTACATGTTGATTAAAATGTTATTTTATTGAAATGTATGTACATTTTGTGAAATCTTATTGTTTCATTGTAATTGTAAAAGTTTTCATTATACTCAAACTTTTCTTTAAGGGGGGAGGTGTTACGATCCTCTAATGTTATGAAAATAGACATTGCGTCAGCTGTAGTAGTTATTTTTATTGTGTGACGTCACATGGATTTCCGGAAGCTGAAGAACATCTGCACGCGATCGTCTGCGAGGATACGGGATTGGAGAGACTTGGCAATGGACTGATGGTATGTCGTACTTTGTAATTCGGCCCAAGATGTTTATAATACCGTAAAAGTACATATTTAGAGACCGCCGTCCATTGTGTCTGATGTTCTCGAAGTGGTGTAATTCGTTCTGGACGGGAGGACATTCGAAATGAACAACTGAGTAAACGTTGTCTGAATTTGTTTATGATGTCAATTTGTGTGTAATTGTAACTGTGTGTTTATTTGATTCTATTGCTTGTTTTATCATTAAAATTTGTTAAAGTTTTAATTCATTTTGGTTGGTGTGTTTTTTGTAAGTGTGTCACAGGTGAAAACGAGCTATAAATAGATTTGTGTATTCGGCGCACGTTACAAATAATTAACATTTCTTGTAGTTGTGCGATTGGCATTTAAATTTTTGAAGCTACCCATCGTTGCTTTAGAAACAGAAGAAAAATAAAAACTGTCTAATATGTCTAAATGTTTTGGTTTCTTGGTTAAATCTCTTTAAAGTATTACAATTGTTGGTCAACAAGAAGGAAATAGATACGATTTATAGTACGGTAAATAAAAAAAAACATTGATTAAGTTGAAAAATAAATATATTAGAAACCTGTAAAACCGCAGCAAGAACACTAGCAGACCCATTCTCACAAACGTATGCAAAACTGTTATCTATTATTACTTACAATAAACTGACTTAAGTACAGCCTATGTATAATAGATATATCCTAGAAATGCACGTATCTATCAACACATCACCAAAAACAAAATTTCCACTACATGTACATGTATTTCTGATGTTACAGTATTAAACAACTTTTAGATTTTTTCCATTTCTTAGGATAAACAGTGAACTATCAATAAAAATCTAAATAACAATTAAAACTCCAACATTTTGCTTTTTCTCCCACTTAGAGCCTTAAAGGACAGTTTTTTTTTTCATTTATCAAGTACTGTAAACAACTTTTTTTTCGCGACGACTTTATTTCGCGATTTACCTTGGGTAAACTAGTTTGCGACGATAAATTTTCGCGATCAAGTCTTTTTTAATCCGTTATTAATAGACACAAAGGTTTTAAGGACCGGTTCGCGGTGAGAAATATGACGACGCTCTCGCGAACTTAGCGGAAAGAAGAAGGTATGGTTTTTAGCTTTATTGCGCCTTTAAAAATGTAATGACATCAAAAAGTTTTGAAACTGGCTTAAATATTAGTTAAATAAATTACTTTGATAAATCAGGAAAGAATATGGCATGAAGGTTTACCATTCTGCAAATATGACGTCATTAATGTGAAGCATATCTCTATATTCAACAGAAAAAGCCTCAAAATGGTACATTTCAAGGGTGATTTTCCTTTAGAAAACAGTGTCCACAGCCGTCGCCCACGTTAATTTTTTTATATTTTGTGCAAAATTCAATTACAGATCACATATCTCAAGATCTTTGTGGGCGATGCCTGTGGACAATGTTATCTGAAAGAAAATTCCATTGAAAATTGGTGTCTTTTGCAATTTTTTAAGAAAATACGGGAAAATGCACATGTTTATGACGTCATAATTAGCATTCAAAACACACATAAGAAAAATGACTTGTATGATTTTTCTGCATTGAATTTCAATTATTTAAAAAGCATGAGTTTTCAACTTTTACACCAGTTTCATTTTTTAGAAAATCACAGGGCAAAATTTGTATGGAAACCATACCTTCTTCTTTCTTGCACGCGAATAAAAGTTGACAAGAAAATTTGTGTTGTGTATTCAATGGGCCAATTAATCTTCGGTTGT